CCAAAAAAGATGTCCTTTTCATTACAGGGGACTGTAATGCAAAAGTAGGAAGTCAAGAAATATCTGGAGTAACTGGCAAATTGGTCTTGGAGTACAAAACAAAGCCAGTCAAAGGCTAACAGAGTTTTGCCAAGAGAACGCACTGGTCACAGCAAACACCCTCTTCCAACAACACAAGAGAAGATGCTACACATGGACATCATCAGATAGTCAACAGAGAAATCAAATTGATTATATTCTTTGCAGCCAAAAATGGAGTTCTATACAGTCAGCAAAAACAAGACCGAGCTGATCATGGCTCAGATCATGAACTCCTTATTGCCAAATTCAGACTTAAATTAAAGAAATAGTCAGACCATTCAGGTATGACCTAAATCAAACCCCCTACAATTAAAGAATGGAAGTCACAAATAGATTCAAGGTATTAGATCTGATAGACAAGAGAGCCTGAAGAACTATCGACAGAGGTTTGTGACACTGTACAGGAGGCAGGGATCAAGACCATCCCCAAGAAAAAGAAATGCAAAAAGGCAAAATGGCTGTCTGAAGAGGCCTTACAAAAAGCTGAGAAAAGAAGAAAGAGGAATACTTGCCAGGAATACTTGCCTTTAGGTCCTGGGAATGGATGCTCTCATGGAACCAGAGTGGGGGGAAAGTGTGCAGATTAAGAAAGCCAACTACGACTACAAAGAGAATGCCAGGGAGTTCGGGGCGCATAAGACAGGAAGGGCTGTCCTAGCCTTGATGGTCTGGGACGATTTTCCTGAGGAAACACCATCCGAGGTGCGAGGTGCGTCCCCTTCACACAAGCGGGGCTCAGCCCTTGGACGGCGCCTTCGGCGAATCCCTGCCTACCCCCTTCCCTAGCCGGGCCCCAACTCCGCCGACCTGCCTGCCGTCCCGCCGGTGCCTCACAAGCGTCACCTCCCCGTAGCTGCCTCTGCCCACGACACGCAGGTAGCAGTAGGCTGTCAGGGGCATGATCCTGGCGCGGACCCACAGTCGGGATGCGGCGGCAGAGGCGGGCGGGGCGGCGAGCGGCGGCGGGAGACTCCGCTCATGCCCGAGAGGATGTGGTACCCGCGGCCGCTGAGGCGCCCTGGCCCGGGCGCCAGAGCGGAGGCCCGACCCACCGCGACGCCGCTGCCATAGCGATCCCAGAGGGTGCAGCCCTGCGCATGCTCTGCGGCCTGGAGGACCTACCACAGAACTGAGGCGACTAGCGGCTAGAGCGACCGCGCCAGCTCTGCGCGCGCACCCTCGGCCTCAGTTCTACGGAGGAACTTCCGGGTTGCCTACAACAATAGAATCACAAAAGCTTCCTGTTAGTGAGCGTTTGTTTGCTTTAAAATCTTTGCAGGTATTCCCTCCACAAATACATATTTACTGACTGCTTGCCCTGTGCCGTGCCAAAGAAGTTCCTGCCTTCCAGGAACTCACATTCTATTAGGGGACTGAGGACAGGCCAAATTCTGCAAGTAACATTTGTTATATTTACTTTATCACATGATAGTTAATGTATACATACAGCAGTCTGTCTTAATTTTTGTGCATTGCAAAATTGGAGATATCAGTACACTTCGCTCCTAATAATTCAGCTTACATATTGAGAACTGCAAAAGATTAAAAAAGACTCCATTCAAACCCCTGCACTAAGTGACTTGACCAAATTTTGATATGGTTTCTAACAACTTAGGTCAGTATCCCTAGAGGACTCAGTTCAGTTCAGTCGCTCAGTCGTGTCTGACTCTGCGACCCCATGAATCGCAGCACGCAAGGCCTCCCTGTCCATCACCAACTCCCGGAGTTTACTCAAACTCATGCCCATCGAGTCGATGATGCCATCCAACCATCTCATCCTCTGTCGTCCCTTTCTCCTCCTGCCCCCAATCCCTCCCAGCGTTAGGGTCTTTTCCAATGAGTCAACTCTTCGCATGAGGTGGCCAAAGTACTGGAGTTTCAACTTCAGCATCAGTCCTTCCAATGAACACGCAGGACTGATCTGCTTTAGGATGGACTGGTTGGATCTCCTTGCATGGCCTGCCTGTGAAAGCTCAAAGCTGCCAAGAGAATTTATCATTTGTTCCAACCAGTATCTCCCTTTCCTAAGACATTTACCTAACAAAAGTTAAAATTGTAAATCCAGTGTGTGTGTGTGTGTGTGTGTGTGTGTGTCTGCTTACAACCCCAGAGTGTCTTTCTTAAGGTCCTAAAATACAACTGAAATGTAAGATTTTTTTTTTTTTTGGCTTATTTTTCCCAGTTTGGGGGGATGGGGTTGATATTGCCCCCATTGAGAATGCATAATATAACATGTTCATGCTAAGTTGCTTCAGTTGTGACTGACTCTGTGTGACTCTATGGACTGCAGCCCACCAGGTTCCTGTCCATGGGATTATCCAGGCAAGGATTCTGGAGTGGATCCTCCATGGGATCTTCCTGGCTCAGTGATCAAACCCATGTCTCTTAACGTCTAACCTGCATTGGCAGGCAGGATCTTTACCACTAGCAGCCACTTGAGAAGCCATTTTTTGTTTTGTTAAAAAAAACATCCAAGGACTTCCATGGTGGTCCAGTGGCTAAGACTGTTATAGAGTCCAAGCTCCATGTGCTCACTGCACTGACAGGCCAATTAACTGAGAGATGAGGTGTGAAGGCAAGGAATACAACTTTATTCCAAAAGGCAGCTGACAGAGAAGATGGCAGACTTGTCCAGGTCTGGATGCCAGGTTCTTTTATAGAACAAAGACGGGGAGGAGTTGAAGAAGTAAAAACGATTATCTTGCAAATATCTCCTGGAATGGCCAGCAGCTTGGTTGTTCAGTTGCTCAGTCATGTACGACTCTTTGTGACCCCATAGATTGAAACACACCAGGCTTCCCTGTCCTTCACCATCTCCTGGAGCTTGCTCAAACTCATGTCCATTGAATTGGTGATGCCATCAAACCATCTCATCCTCTGTCGTCCCCATCTCCTCCTGCCTTCTATCATTCCCAGTATCAGTATCATTAGAAAAGAGTCAGCTCTTCACACCAGGTGGCCAAAGTATTGGACCTTCAGCTTCAGCCTCATAAAGCTGAAGATAAAGAACCCAATTGCCGATGCAGGAGACATAAGAGATGTGGGATTGATCCCTGACCAAGGAAGATCGCCTGGAACAGGCATGGCAACCAACTCCAGTATTCTTGCTTGGAAAATTCCCATGGACAGAAAGGCCCTGTGGACTACAGTCCATAGGATCACTAAGAGTCAGACACAACTGAAGTGACATGGCACACAGTAACAAAAGTGATGAAAAACAAGGTTAAAGTCAAAGAAACAGATCCACCTTGGAGTCAGAATTGCCTCTTTCCTACAACAAGACTCTATGCTGCCAATGCAGAGGGGCACACATTTGATCCCTGGTCAGGGTACTGGATCTTGCATGTTGCAACTAAGAGTTGTGCAGCCTGCGAGATCTTAGTTCCCCAACCCCGGATGGAACCCATGTCCCCAGCTGGGAGTCTTAACCATTGGACTGCCAGGGAAGGCCCAATTATCCGTAATCTTTTGTTGTTAGACAACATATCTTTTTTTCCAGCAGAAAACTGTGTATCCTGGCTCCTCCCTTACCTCATGAGGGCAGTTCCTCAGAGCTGAGAGGATGTCTTCCAGGCTATGGTCCACAGAAAGATTCCTTGAACAAATCTCAATTAAAACAGGCTTCCCTGGTGGCTAAGTGGTGAAGAATCCACCTGCCAGTGCAGGAGAAATGGGTTAGATCCCTGATCTGGGAAAATCCCACATGCTTCAGAGAAACTAAGCCTGTGCTTCACAACTATTGAGCCCATAAGCCACAACTACTGAAGCCCACATGCCTAGAGCCCGTGCTCTGCAACAAGAGAAGCCACTGAAATGAGAAGCACGTGGACCACAACTAGAGAAAATCCCCACATAACAACAATGACCCCACACAGTGAAAAATAAATCTTTTTTTTAATCTTAAAAATGTTTAGATTTTTGTGCATTTTTCTTCAGTCAATATGCTTAATTTTCTTTAAGCCAGTTAAATAGAATTTTTAAACAAATTATTTTGGCAATATTTCCTTAAAGTAGGAAAAAACTCACATCTACAACATACATATGGAAACACACATCAACATACAAACTGATACAAACAGAGTTTATAGCTTTTGTTCTAAAATTTTAGCCATGAATCAGATGCAAAATTACAAAATTCACCAGTTATAGAAGAAATTGGATCCAAATTGTGTCTTTGGCAGACGGAATAAGTTAAGGTTAACTGCTCAAATGGTTAAAGCTTTTTACTAATATTTGTGGAGAAGACGCTTAAGATTTTTCTTTTTTTTTAAAGCTACTTTAAATACTTACTTTATGATGATTAAAGTTGAATTCCAGAGTAGCATTTTATTTTTTTTTCATTTATTTTTATTAGTTGGAGGCTAATTACTTTACAATATTGTAGTGGTTTTTGCCATACATTGACATGAACCAGCCATGGATTTACATCTGTTCCCCATCCTGATCCCCCCTCCCGCCTCCCTCTCCATCCCATCCCTCTGGGTCTTCCCAGTGCTCCAGCCCAATAATATAGGGTTATTGTTACCATCTTTCTAAATTCCATATATATTTATTAGTATACTGTATTGGTGTTTATCTTTCTGGCTTACTTCACTCTGTATAATGGGTTCCAGTTTCATTCATCTCATTAGAACTGATTCAAATGTATTCTTTTTAATGGCTGAGTAATATTCCATGGTGTATATGTACCACAGCTTCCTTATCCATTCATCTGCTGATGGGCATCTAGGTTGCTTCCATGTCCTGGCTATTATAAACAGTGCTGCGATGAACATTGGGGTTCATTTGCCTAAATTCCAAATAAGCTTTTCCCCTTTTGTTTCCTTCAGATAAGAATTATCTCTTTGAAGTTACCATTTCAAAGAGATAACCTCAATAAGACTTCTGGAGAAGACCAGATAAGAACATTATATCTCAGAGGCACAGGGGAAATGCAAATTCCTCCAAAGACTTTTGTTTGTTAGGTACAGAATTTTTAGCATTTTGAGATAAAATAGGGCAGGTTTGTGACATTGTACAGGAGACAGGGAGGAAGACCATCCCCAAGAAAAAGAAAAGTTGGGAGGGGGGACCGGGATGGGGAATACATGTAAATCCATGGCTAATTCATTTCAATGTATGACAAAAACCACTGCAATGATGTAAAGTAATTAGCCTCCAACTAATAAAAATAAATGGAAAAAAAAATCTATTACCACAGAACCAAAACTATAAATCCAAAACCACATCCATTTACTAAAAATACATTAAAAAAAATCTCTAGTGTTAAGCCAGTGATTGTGGAGTTCACTGACATCCTTATTTCTGCAATGAATGGGGCAGTGTGGGGACATGAAAGGGCTCTGTACTTTACACCTTCCTTACTTCCAGTGAGAGCCCTGTGATCCATCCTCTGGCTCTTTTCTCCCTCAAGTATTTTCTCTTCCTCCTACACACTTTCCTGCCCGATTCACATGTCCATTAAAAATACATTTGCCCACTTATTAAATCGATAGTTGAGTACTGATTAAATCAATCAATAGTTGATTGATTCACGGGTTCATTTGAATTTCCCTTGAGAAATAGGCAAGTAGAAAGCATGCAGAGAATGTGCCCAGAATAGAAAATAATTCTAGAAAAAGACTTCTAGAATTCCCACTCTCCTTAACAATAATGTTAGGTACAGAATTTATAAGAAAGATGACTGTGTTTCCATAAGTTTTCTCACTAATGACTGTTCATATATATTTTTAAAAACTATTGGTTTTATGTAACTAAAAATTTGTAATGAAGTATTTAGAAGTGATATCTAGGATTGGGAGGATAATGCAGGCTGGCAAATGACAGTGATGATGTAATATGAGGGGTAGTTATTTGAAGATTTATTATTATATTTCTATGTATCTGAGATGAAAGTGAAAGCTGCTCAGTCATGTAGGACTTTTTGCAACCCCATGTGTCAGGAAGCATTGAACAAGAGGCTTCCTGTGTGCTGGTTTGGATCTGTCAGGAACCCTCTGGCCCTCATTGATTCCTGAATATTCAGGAATTAAGAGGAGAGGCACGCCTTTCCCGGGGCTGAGGAATCCAGGCATTTCTCATTACAGTGATAAGTACCCTCTTCCTTACTATGAGCCAAATGGTAAAAGG